GTATTGCACTTTAGTGTGGTAGTAGGGGTATGGCAGGCAGTGTCTTCTGTAGTTATGTGGCACGGGAGGCTTTAGGAAAAGCCAGCTGTGACAGTAAAGTGGCATTTCTTTTCACCATTTCTTCTGGTGAAAATATTCTCAGATATAAGGTGCAGATCTCTAGCCTGTGAAGCACAAGAAACCTGAAGAAAAACTCCATCTCCTTTTTTATTTTTCCTGTTCTGATGCTCCTCTCTCACAAGTTCAGTGCAAATTCTCACTTCTTTTACATGAAAGCCATTTACTTTGAGACCTCTGAATCTAAGGGAAAGAGAATGGAAGAGGGGCCAAAGGCTACAGTTCTGTTTGAGCTGAGCTCTGTGCCAGGTGTGGCAGCTGGCTTGGCAGTGCAGGTTGTCTGTCTGTCACTGCTTCAGCCTCCTCCATTCACCAGTGAGCCAAGCACAAAACACTTGGTGCCAAGCTCATGTTCAAGAATGCAAGGACCAATAGACCTTCTTCATGTGCATCTTCTGCTGACACTGCTACCATATGACCACAACACAGAGTCATGCCCTGTGCACTCCATATCTTACCCTGCTAGAAATGTTTGAGATCGTTTTCACACATACACATTTCCCTGTACTTTAGTATTTCGGAGCACACAAGGCAGGTAACAGATATTTAATAATAGATAATGGATCGTTTGGAAGGAATATCGGTTTATAATGTTTATGGTGCACGAAGGCCTTGAGCAATTTGTCCCAGGAATGGGAAATCAGGCAGAGACTGATACCAAAATGTATTCTACTGCTAAGATAAGATGCTTTACAGTGTGCCAGCTGCCTCATAATTTCAGTAAGGTTAATTTATAGGGCTTGTGGTACTATTTTGTGACAATAATAACTGCTCATACAGAATACACATGGAGAGATTGAAGAGCTTAAGTGATATATTGAGGATGTGTGTATATATGATGAGTTTGGATTTTATTTTATAAGGTGAATCATGCGTTTGTCTCATATCTGTCTTCTGTTACAAGCTTGTATCCTATTACTTTTGCTTGAGTCTGAGTGTGTAGAGGGATTATTAACAGCCATCCGTAACTGAACAGTGTCACAGAAAAAAAGAAAACTGACCCAGTATAGGTGTGCCTCTGTAGATATATTAAAAGTGAGAAAATAAGGTGGGAAACTAGAATGACAGGTACTGAATAAGGACATACATATGCATGCTAGAAACTAGGTAATACTAGGGTTCATAAAAAAGAGAGAAGACTGTGCAAGAGGAGAAATAAAACCGAATATTAAATATAAAGTCAAATAAAATGAAACAAATGGTTTTTACCTTCAAAGACCAAAAACTTGCCTGCATACTAGAAAGAAAAGAAATGCTAAGATATGAATAGGATCGGCAACTACTCACCATCACTATTAGAATACTTTTAAGTCCAGAGGAGTTGCTTTTATAAAGAGTTAAATTAATTGAGGTGAGAAAATCATTATGAAATTGCAGAGAGAAAAGTAACTGAGGAAGAAATACAGTAAATGTGCTAAAACCAGGAAAAAATGCACAGTACTAAGTGCTCCACTGAAGGCACCTTATTTTGTGCTATATTGCTATATCTCCAAACTTACACTTTAACCATCAAGTATCGGCAGAGAATTTTTATACTTACACACAGAACTGGTATAATGAAGCAATCTTTAGACTCAAAATTAATTAGTGGCACACCTGAACCACCTTCTTTGCATGCTAAGATCTTGTAGAAAAGGACAGCAGGTCTTCAATGGCTGGGTGGACTAAATTCAGCATAATGTACTGTCATTTGTATGTCCAGGAACTGTACTGCAGTCACATATTGTATTGCCATGATCATAGCTGGAGTTTAGGATCTTGGATGGACCCTTTAGGATCATGCACTGGTCAGTGACAAGGGTATATTGGCTCCAGAATTATCTCTTATTCAGTTTGTCTTGGACTGTTTACCAGTTTATCCCCATAACATTGCTAAAGGAGCTGTAGCACTGGAAGCAATGGAACTGTGGAATTGTGCAGCACAAGCTACAGAAGCATGCAGGAGTGAATGCCCATGAAGCAGCACAGTGTAAAATCTCTGCTGCTTCTGGTGCCTGAAACAACTGGGTTTGAGCTACCTGTGGCATCTCTGCAGTAGACTGCAAAGAGCAAGTTGGAAAAGGAGAAAGCAGGGGGGAAAACCAACAACCCACACCAGGAAGGGATGGTCAGAAGTGTAAATAAACCCACATAAATCTGAGTCTGTGTTCAGTGACCAGGATATCAGGTCTTGGATACTTGCATCCTCAACTCCACGTGCAGTTCACCCGCACTGCAGGAAGTGCCTAGTCCACAAAACTCTGTCAGTCCAGTAATCTCACAGTTCACACAACTTAGAATGTTCTACAGGATCAGATGTGAAAGGAAACATGTACAGTCCATGACCTCTGCTCAGTGATGTCCAGGTTCACAGTCACACGTTTATGCTCTATGAACATTTGGATGCTCTAAAGCAACCAGTGGAGCATATCACAACATACTTTTTAGTGAGTTATAACCAATAACCTTTAGTATTTTGGGATGGTAACAATTTCTAAAGGAAAATAATCTGATCCCATAATTTCAGTTCCCTCAGCAGCTTTATCCTAATTTGTAGCTTTTGTTGGTTTAACTTTTTTTGATTAAATGAACATATAAGGATGTTTACTTGGTTAAAATGACTGAACTTTTACAAAAGGTAAATGAGTACCAAAGTTTTAAAATACATCCACCCAGCAGATATTTGCTCTGGAATAGGGCAGTCTGTACATCCAAGGACATTCCTTGGGATTTATTTTGAGTCTTAGGTTTCTTCAGCTTGGCAGAATTGTTTAGCAGAGGTAGCCATGGAATGTTTAAAGGCACTGAATGCATCAGGTGTGATTTGGTATAAAAGGAAAAGGAATAGCAGTGAGAACAGGGAAGGAGGGATACACTGCTCTTTCATTTGTTTTACATGATACATTACGGTACTACAAAGAGCTTACCTAAACACAGCTATGGCATTGTTCATTGGGAAGATTTTAATTTACCTTTGGAGACAGGTGAACTTGGGGGATGGGGGTGCAAACTGTGATTTCTTTAGGGGATTTTCAGACAAGAACTAGATCAGAGTAAGTAACTAGTTATTTACTCCTGAGCCACCAGCGTTTTGCATTGCTAAACCAAGGAAAACATTTCCAATATATGTATCTATCCATTGCACTTCAGTCAGTGTGGAACAGAGCTATTTTCTCTCACCCTGGAAATGCAGTATACATTGCTAAGGAACTGAGTATTCACTTTTGTTCCCAGTTTCCTAGCATACATTTAGAAACTGCCAAAGTAGTAAGTACTACATCTCTGTGGATAATTTTGTCAGGAAAAATTAAATAAGATATTACTCAGAGCATCCACGTAACTGCTCAACTAATGACTTGATGAGCTGCAGCAGTAACTATTAAATGCGCAGCTCAAACTGCTTAAGTACTTCAACTAAAACCCTTTTATGTTTCTGAAAACCTCAAGCTAGGTGAGAGTCTTAGGTGAAACTCCAAAAGACAATAAAAGAAATCTGTGCCTGGTCAAAGGTAGTCGCACTGGTGTTACACTACCTTTTAAATTTTTAATGGGGATTAACAGTTGAGAAGATACATCACTGATAGGAGGAAAGTGCTCTGATTTCCTCATGTCTTCTCCCATCCTCAGAGGAGAAAAGTAAAAGAGTTGCCAAGAATTCCATTTGCTCTCATTTCTAGCTTTACAGAACAGAAATGCATCCAGCTAAGAATGCCACTGAAAATTCACAATTAGTAGGGCAAACAGAAGAGTACTATTATGAACTTGTCCACAAGCACAAAAGGCACAGCAGTGTTCCCCAATCTTTGTATCTGTAAATGAGAAATAACATTTCAGAAGGTGGATTGAACCTTGTAAAATCTTAGCTACTATCACTTGGAAATACTGCAGTTCTGACAAGTCAGTTCAGTAAGATATATAATGTGATTTGAATATGTAAAAAGTAATTTAGTGAGTAATTTCAGTGCATTGATTAAAGGCATAAAATATCTGAAATACAAATCAGTCTGTTTTTCTAAAAAGAAAAAAAATCAGTAAGTTATATCTCCAGCACAGAAAACATGAAAACAATACTAAAGAAAGAAGCATTTTCCAGGGGAGGCACACAGCAGTCTCTGAAAAACAGAGTCCATCAATGCATCTGTGTAGGAAACCCAGCAACTACATTTCCCCTTTGCTGTATAGACACTACAGCTGCCCTGTTCCATTGTTATCAGGAATACTAAGGTAAAGTTTTTTGTGATCTTTTTTCTTTGACAGTCACAAAGCTTTATTTTGCTTCAAGAAATCAGAAAAAAACCTGAGCACTTTGAAACTATGTTCTTAGCAGACTTCCAGATATGCACAGATGGCGATGTAAATAGTCTCATTAGTTAAAATCAGCAGGAACAAAGCATCTCAGAGCTGACTGTGAGAAAAGCTGTTAAAAACAGGGTCTGGAGTGATTTCTGAAGAGGAGGCAAATGCCTCTGCCATCTGCAGAAATACAGAGAAGAGGGAAATTTGAAATCCTCTCCCTTTACACACAATCTCTACAACTCCTTATCACTATGCATTAGAAGACCGGCTGAGAGATACTGTTTTCACAGTGGGAAGCAAAACCCTGAGTTGCTGTTACAGAGTAAGTATTGAAAGATGGAACACAGAAAGCAGCTGAAGTCAAACAGAGAGAGGAAATGCTTGTTATAAAAGAAAGCAGAATAAAAACAATGGAATACTGAAGAAGAAAGACCAAAGACCAGGAAAAAATGTGTGTTAGGGAGAGATCCTAAAGAAGTGCAGAGGAGCACAATGAATGAACTATTGAGATCTTCACCTCTCATCACTATGATTATCATCTCTGTATTTTTATTTTGGCAGAGAATCTGATCTCAATCTCTCACCCCTAAACTTTTCTCTTTTCTCACCTGTCCACAGCGATTGCTGTCATGGAGTAGATGCTGGCGAAGACAGCTGTGATTGGGAAGAAGTTGTGGAAGCGGCAGTAAGCCTCTCCAAAGTACCACTCGCTGTGCAGTGCATAGATGAAGTTGATTAGAGTATTGAAAGCAGCCATGGAGGCATCAGAGAAGGCCAGATTCACCAGGAAGTAATTTGTCACCGTCCTCATGCGCTTGTGAGCCAGGATAATCCAGATGACAATAAGATTTCCAAAAACGGCCACTGCCACCACACCACCATAAGCCAGAGACCACAGGGCAATGCGCCAAGAAGGTTGTACGAACTGATTGGAGAAGTTGCCTGCTGAGGAGGCTACAGGGGCAGAAGCATTTACAGCTGTTGCTTCCAGAGCCTTTCCCCAGGGATCACCTGCTTCAGCAATGCTCACATTCCACCTGCTGCTCGTGTTCCACTTGGCTGTGGGGTCCGAAGTCATCTTGGGTGTTTCTCTCCTCTCTTCCAGGAATGATGTACCTCTCCAACCTCCCTCTCTCAACCCTCCCAAAACCCCACTAACAGATAAGAAGGGGGAAGCAAGGCAGCACAGCAGGTACTGGGGAGGAGAGCTGTTAGAAGAGATCTTTGGCTATGCTGTTCAAACTGTTAGAAATGCTCTAACAGACACGTCAGGAGAGCTACCTCAGAGTAGACAGTATCCTGTTTCTCCTCTGTACAGCCTCCTGCTTTTGATTTTGCTCAAGGAGAAGTGGACTGGGAGCCAAGGCACATTTTATAGGCTTGTGAGTTCCCAGCGTCACGAAGGGAGTGGAGCGATAAGCTCCATCGGCTGGTAAGCTAACACCTCTTTGCCTCTGCTCTCCCTCCCCTTGCGTTTCATTCGTTGCCAGCAGCAGGCACTTTCAGGAGCTGTGGAAAGCATCACAGGGAAAATGAATTCTCATCTCGTTTATGTTGAGAGATTTGTTTTATATTGTCTTTCTTAAAGTTTCATTATTGTGCTTCCTTTTTTAAATAGCCTTTTTGCCCTGTATTTGTAGGGCTAATCAGCTGGCTTAGTTGAAATTCCCAGGATTGAGGCTGCCTTTTTATTAAAGCTCTTTCCAGATGAATTTATTCCAGATCAATTCAGAGCTGCTTTTTTTGTTGCTCTATTTTCATTTAGTATACACTTTCTTTTAAACCGTTCTGTTACCTACAGATTTAGAATAGTGACTCTTTCAGACAAACAAATACATTCTGCTGCTCTCTAATTTCACTTTTCATTCTGTAATATGTAATTGATATCAAGAAACATTTATAAAGCCTGTTTACTGCATGTTTACTGAAACATGTATACTGAAACAGTATGCAGCCCATAGGTGTCCCTAGTTATAGGCAAAATATTAGGGGTTTGTTTCATTTGCGTCTTTGGAAAAAAAATTACTTCAGTTCTTGTTCCTGATTTGCATTTATTTCACACTTAGGGCTATTATTATTTTGAGCAACTAATATTTTAATATGCAATGATTCCTATAATGGTCGAGAAGGGTAAATGAGGAAATTTAACACTCAATGTTTTCACATCCAAAATCAGTTTTCTTGTTAATATGTTAACAACAGCTGGCATTAGGAATGCAAGGATTGATTGCAAGGGACTTCAACTGACAAACCTTTGTTATTCAATAGGCTGCAGTCTTAAGGGAGAAAACGTCTTTTAGTGCCAATCTTTCATGTTTCAACAATTTAGAGCTACTACTTGTCATCAGCAGAGGTTTCAATTGTTTCACAGCAGTGGGAGCTATTCAGTGTCCCTATCAGCAATGACACATTCAGTACTTTTTAAACAAAAGCTTCAAACAAAAATCAAATACTCCTGTGTACCACTTCTCCCTGATGCATTTACTTAGTGGAAGCAGTGCCTGCACTTTAATTGTCAGGTCTTCATTGCAGTTTTAATTCGAATGAACGTAATTGTGGCTGTTTCCATATGAGCTTTTACCAATTTACCCCAGCCTGAGCAGCTGCCCATGTCAGGCTTAGAAGCTTTGCTGAAAACCACAGAAGCTCTGCTGTAAATCACCTGGTGCTACAGCACATCTAGAACCCACTCATGCACTGCAGATGCTTGTAACAGGAAAGTCACTGGAGTTAATCCCACAGTTCCATTTTGAATTCTAAATCTTTCACCTGCCTCTTCTTCCTTCCTTTCCCTGGAGGCGAGCCTGAAGAAAGCCATTGTAGACAATCTCTGACAGTCTGAGAGATGAAAAATTTAAATGGTGGTTCCAAAGAGTCAGGAACAATGACTAGTTATAACAGAGAGTTGGACACTCAACTTTTGATTCCAGCAGCTTCACTCAAGATTTTTATATGGCTGAAAGCCAGAGTACAAACCCAGCCCTGTGCCCTATACCTTTCCACCTTTATGCCCAAACTAGGAACTCCAGACTATCCTTTTACTAAGCTGATGTGTTTTTCACATTCTCACACCAGTCGCACAAGTGTCCCACAGGCTTCTGTTGCTTCTATCCATCTCTCCCAACCTCAGCTATATTTTTCCTTCATTTCAGCAGAGACACAGGCACCTTATTTCTAGCACAAAGTACAGACAAGTGTGCAATAGGAGCAGAGTCCTGTAGAGCACTGTGGTGACTTCCCCTGTATAGGAACATAAAGGATCTGTGTTCAAACCACTTGCTGTAGTTCATGGAATCACATTCTGGTCATGTGTAAATTCTGTCTCAGATTTCCCTGAAAAATATGCAATATCCAGTAGTGCTGCAAACTGGGGGCTGCATTTTGAGTTTGAAAGCAGAGGTCTAATTTCTTGTTCTGGAATGAAGCTTGTTCTAACTGTCATGAAAAATTGCTTGCCTTTGCACGCCAGGTGTTGAGGAGAGACCATTCCCATGTGTCTTGCCCTAATCATCTGTAGTGCCCCCAAGGGAATTTGTTCTCAATGCATTCCTAGTCACAATGTGAGAAGACAGAACAAAGCAACATCTCTTTATTCTAGCAGAAGTGTAGGTAAACTGAGTCCTTGCAACTTACTTTAAACACAAATCAGGAAGCTTTTTGTAGTCTGTGTTTGTGCGATGTCAGCCAGGCCACCAGCACAGGTGTCAGCTTTGCAGTGTAGAAATCAAAATGTCATTGATTCTGTCTTCCTCTTCAGAGGCACCCTGAGGAAATAAGACATCCCTGTAGGGAAATTGTTATACACTATGCTCTTCTCCATCCCCTCTCCCCCATACGTGAGAAGAAAAACTGTGGGGTACCATTAGCATAAAAGGACAACCTAGATTTTTTTATTAGCTCAGTAAGATGGATGGTATCAGCCTGCAGCATGTATTTGGCAGATGAGGTGGCTGAATATCTGGAGTTGTTTTGTTTTGAGAAGTGGAAAACTGAATAGCACAGGACAAATGTTGGGCAGCTGGATCAGTCTCCCATGGTGTATATTTATGACACCTTTTGGAGACGACTGTAAAAATTTGCTAGAATAAATTCTCTGTGTCATTCTGGCTTTCACTCTTACTGAAACCACAGAGCAGTAGTTTGGTACAATCAATTGGAGCAAAACCAGATTCTCCTACATCTGAAGGACTACAAAAAAAAATAGGGTGGTCTGCCTTTATAACATTTTACTTAACTAAGTAAGAAAATATTTTAGACAGCCAGTCATTAATTGGATCTTACCTATAGAGGAAATTCACATATATAGTGATGTCAGCTGTGCTTCACCATCAAAATTTGTATTGATTACAGATGTACTGATTGAAGTTTAGTCAGCTGAAGGTAATCAGCATTGAGTTTCTCAAAAAAATTCCACAATAACTTTGGTGAAAATTTGTATTAATAACTTCTGAGTAGTGTAATCTGCCTGACTGGGATGCACTTTATGCAAAAGAGTAGTACAAAAGACAAGTGATAGTAAAAGATTTTAAAATCATAGAAAATTCAGGGAGTTAGAAATAAAGCTAGGCTTGGCAAGCCCTGGAAAAAGTAGGCCCTGGGAAACGTTAGACCTCATGCTTGCTAAGATCATGTGAAACTGCACCTGTGTAGTCAGTATATGATAAATAATACAATTGTTAGATGTGATTAGATATAATTATTGTTTAAAGAATCATGAGAAACTATGTTAGGGGTTTGAGGGGGATCATGAGAAATCCATGCTTGGGTAAAATCAAAGCATACAATAGAGCAATGTAAGTTTCGTAATTAATATGTAAGTTATATAACAATAGAGTATAAAAACATGCTCAGCTCAAAACCAAGTTGGGTCAGATCTGGGTATGTGTACCCCTGACACCCAGAGCTCTTTCATAAAGCACCTTCATATAATCATCCTGTGATTATGTGTTCCTGAACGCTAACACAAGGATCTGTGTTTTTTCTCAGTCTCTCATAGACAATATAGAGTAACTGTGTTTTCTGTGTTTTCTTCCAGAACTGTTACAGGTATGTGGTTTCTTAGGCTAACTTTTCACCATTCCAGCTTATGTATATTTGCAGTGGGAATGTTCAATTTCCTACTCTTGAAGGCTATTACTCAATTTTAGAGTGACTTTCTTCTGGTCATCTGCTACCTGCTATTTCCTGATGGTCGTTTGCTCTTTTGCTTTTCCACTGACTGCTACTTTGTGCTTGTGTGAAAGCATGTTGTACTTTTAAATTGTGGTTAAACTTGTCACTATTAGCAGCTCCCCAGCTTCACAGAAACACTAGGAAATCTAAAAGATATATCCAAAGTGTGAACAGATGTGATTGTCTCTACTTCTTCCTTTGTGTTACATAGTTTGAAGCTGTTTTTTTCACAGTTCCAGCTTAGTTGGCTCCATAGCCAGAGCAGAAGCTAAGCTCCTGACTTAGCATCTTGACTAGAAGGTAGATTTAGAAGTTATTCTTTTCTTAGCTATTTATGAGATTATGATTTAATTTACTACAGGTCTTCTGTTGTGTGTGAAGTTTTTGTTGGAAATTGTTCTTCCACTAATTTTTTCTGTGTGCTATGGGAATGAGAGACAGAGAATTTCATTGTTATTGCACAAGTAAGGATTTGTGGTAAAATAGCAGCCTGCACAGTATCTCTATTTAGCATGAGTGATAACTGCATCATTAAGAGGTTTTACAAAGCCTGTCCTCTGTCCTTTCTTTTGTATATAGAACAGAGGGTATTGTGGAGTTTACATTTGGTTTTGGATTTGCTTGCTTAATTAGGCTTAGCCTAATAACCTCTTTCCCTGCCTCGTTCCTCCAATGCCCAGCTGGAAGAAATGATCCTTCAGCAGGAGCTTCTTTTTATTCTTCAGCTTTGATATCTCCCGTCCATCAGTCAGTCATGAAAAGGTTTAGGTAGGGCAGCAGAATTTATGCAATTTAAGGATGCTCAGCACTGTCCTATTTATCATGGCTGTGCACTTGCATTGTGTTGCTGTCATGACAGTGCCAAACCACCTAGATTTTGAGCAGTTTGCTTTTATTTGTGTAGCTTAAAACACAGCTAGAAAACTCAGTTTGAACTTGGTTTCTGATAATTGTTTATGAATGCAAAAGTCTTATTCCTGTCACCAACTGCAAATGACTCAGTAGGATATTTAGCAGCTTCACAAGCATACAAATAAGGATGTTGCAGAAAAGGGGAAAGACCAAAACCAGAAATATAGTGTGTGGCTCTTCATCATGGCTAGAGGGGGCCAAAGAGTGAGGAAAATCAGAGCCAAAGAACTGATTAAAGACAGGTTTTCTTCTGGAAGGTGAT